ATGGATCCTGCACCTGCCCAGCTGGTTACCAAGGAGCCATCTGTCAGCAAGGTGACATCTCTTCCCAGTAGTGGTTTGTGCATATGAAGGCTTTGAATGTCCTGTATGGAGCAACCCTGTGTTCAGACTAAGGAAGACATGAGCTCTGCCCCACAGGACTCAGTCAAGCCCAGGCATAGACTCTCCATGTGGGTCATGTTAATGCAGAAAGGTCAGGCTTACAGCTGTGCTAGGGGGCTGCCTTTTACCTACAAAACGCTGTTTAAAAATGTGACCCTTTCGTTTGTAACTGGAAGTGACAGGCTCTTTCCCTGTGTGCTTTCAAAACCAGCTGAACTCCCACCTAATTCACAGCTGGCCTGACAAATGGGCCAAGTTTCAGCCAGAAAGCTGTAAATCTGACAAAGCCAAAGGCAGCTGACCATGACCTCTTAATTCTGGGTGTCATGCCACACTTTGCCTCTAGCATGTACCTAGTGTGAGTCGATGAGTGTTGAAAGTCTGACATTTGCACTCTCCCTTTAATGGCTGATTTGCCTCTAGCTCTTATTTTTTAGCTTGTGTAACTGCACCTGCTCTTATTAAAACATCTAATGCTGGTGTGAATCTTACTTTCTGCCTCAAGATCCTGCTGCAGGGAGTTGCACAGATTAATTACACTGTGCTCTTTTAATTTTTGTCACCTTTTTCTCATAAAACGCTTGTCCTTCCAAACTAAATCGTGGCCTCTAAATCATTCCCTAGGTGCGCAGATGCTATGGGGAGGGAGACTAGACAAGTTTGCGAAAATACCCTGGGGAAATAAAGCTTGTTCAGAAACATTTAAACAATTACTGTACGTGCAACGGCTTTAGTGGGACATGCATGGCTGAGGTAATGTGCCTTGTGCTGATGTGGAAATCTCAGCCTGCAGGGAGTATACCCTGCCTTCTTTGTAATCAATTGACCTTAATTCCTCAGAGTGCCCCATAGGCTGGTATGGGCCAAACTGCCAGCAGCTCTGTGACTGCGAGCATGGCTGTCCTTGTGACCAGGAGACGGGCAGCTGTAATATCACCTACGAGGATAGCCTGCAGGACAAGTTATCCAGAGGTATGTCCTGTGCTGCTGCTTTGCTTGGTTCTCTTTGGCTAAACGACGCAGCAGCTTTACCATGTGACACTGATGTGACCATAGAGACCGAAGCTTGTCTCACTTGTCATTAGCTTCGTGGAGCTATGAGCCAAGCTGCCGCCACCTTGGCTAGCTAATGCTTTCCCCGCGCTTCGGTTGGGCTCGTTCGGTGTGAGGTAGTTCCACCCCGCCCGTGCCTGTTTCCTTCACCTATTGTCATCTTGTCTTCCAGCTGGCCACTGTCTGGCTTTCCTCATGGTTCAGGCAGGGAGTGACGAGAAACCCCTTCTCACAAAGTAAGTGTGCAGTGTTTTGTTATATATGAACAAATGGTAGAGCAGCACCTGCCTGCCGCCAGTTGGCCTTTTGTGGGGAGGATGGCCATGGAGTATGAAAAGTTCATTGTGTATAGTACATGTGCTTGCCCTGGAAGCTCTGTACTCAGCTCATTAGGCTTCTGGTTGAGCACAACATTCTCAGAAGGGAGCTGCCCCTAGGCTGCAGTGTGTGTCTAAGTTGGCTTTGAAAGCCAGCCTCAAGTTGTGGGGCTACAAGCAAGAGCTAGGGCCCTGCTGCTCTGGCACAAGACTAGAAGGGAAGGGAAGGGCAACCAATGCTCAAGAGCTGTCATGGGAAGGCCAGGGTGTGCCCTATCCTCCCTCCTCTCACATGCTGTTCAGCCACCAGCTAGCCTGTAAATAATACTCAGGGAGGCCCCTGGCTTTGGGGAGGGAGATGAATCATGATCCATCCTCACTTCAGCTAAGCTCTTGAGGGTAGATTGTTAATGGCCTCTGTAATTGTAAGACAAGAGCTTTGTTCCCCTCTGGCCTAGCTGCAGCAGGGTTTGCACCATGGGGAATTGGTGGAGAAAGGGGTCTCACATATGCTGTTGCAATATGCTGCAGCATTTAGTGCAATATTGCATTGCAAGTCCTCCAGCCCCACTAGCTCTGAACTGCAAATAACTCGTGTAGGAAAGCAGAGCCCCATGCACACAGCATCAAAAGGAACCAAACAGCCCCTGTAAACAGTGGATTAAACGCCCTTAGCCTAGTTTTTGCCCTTTGTTGTACTTGATTTCCAGTTTCTGGGCAAGTTAATTTTGATTATAGAATTGCAGGCCATCCAGGTGCAGCAGCATCGCATGGTGTTTGTATTACTGATGAGGAGAGACTAGACCAGCTGCACTGCTAATGATGGGCCTCCACATTTAAAGCCATTCACTTACTTTTAGTGTAGGGAGCCACAACTAACCCTACGTTCTGGTTCCTGTTCGTGAAATGAGAGAACGGCTTCAAGTACACTCTATTCTGCTTTTGTTATGAATAAGGTTAAGATTATGTCACAGGTATTTTTAGTAAAATACACAATAAATCACAGAAGCACAGGGCTGGCTGCCCGAGCCCCATCCCCTTTAGGGGCTGAAGTCACTCACAGAGGTCACCTAAAATCACAGAATCCATGACCTCCGTAATCTCTGGGACCAACTCATAGCCTTAGTTATGAAACAAATTGAGCACTCCTATACTTGCTGGAAACAGTGGGGTCCAGTAGCCATTCATTCATCTTTCATCTGTGCCCCAATCATTTTATACAGAGGAACATGCTGTTCACTAAGCCCAGCCTTTCTGTCTGCCACTGTCAGATCTATTGGTGGAAGAGAGAGACCAAAGGTCAGTATTAAAGGAAGAGGCAAAAAATCATAGAAGCAACCACTTTGAGAGGCTAAAAGCACCCACTTAAGCCACTGTGAGAAGCAAGACCTTAGGCTGCAGCAGTGGTGCAGCCAGCCAGGAGCCACATACCTGAAAGCTGCTGCATAGTTACAGATGTACTAAAACATGTACTGCTGCATTTCTGAGACTGGGTTATTCGTTCCTCTCTCACAGGAGAACCTGGATCTGCTTCACCTCAGTCTTGGGGCTGCTGCTTTTGATCAGTGTGGTAGGAAACCTGAGGCTAGTTCTCAGGAGCCGGGCAGCAGAGCGCTGTGAAAGTGGTGACTACATGTACCATCCACTGAAAGAAATGAATGGAGAAGCCAGTCATACATGCCCTTCTGCAACTTTGGAGCAGTACCAGGCAGAAGACACTCGAGATCAAAGCCAGCCAGAGACTGAAGCACTCATTTAACTTCACAGGTGAGGAAAGACTTGAGATATTCTCCCCAGCTGTGGTACTGGCTTTCAGCACAGAGGACCTACCAAGGGCTGCTTCGTCCTGGAATGAGAAGCTAGTAACTTGTGCAGAACAGCAGCAAGAAGGGGCACAAGGTGGTATTCACAAAACATGTGAATATGGGCTCAACCCAGCAGCTGCCTCTCTTCTTGCCACTTCTCAAGCAGAAATCTCTCAGTTCCTTTCATGGGCCTGGTGCTCAGGAGAGAGAGGGGACCTGAGAAGCCCTGTGCAACTGCTGCTCTACCATGGAGAACAGGGGCCTGTAATAACTATGGGGATTAGTCAGTATTCACTGCATTAGTTGTGCGTGGATAAGGAATTCCCTGCCCAGCAAACGGAGCCTGATTAATTAAAGACAATGAGAAGAAAACTTAAGAAAAGTCAGTGGAAGTGCAACATGCACTAGCCTACGGCTTTTCTCGCTTTGGGCCAGTTCTCACACCATGGCACGTTCCATGGTTGAGCGGTGTGGCTAGAACACGGTCACATCTGGCTTGTTTCACTCAAGCAGTGTTTCTTGCAATTTGGGCTGGAAGGCGTTTCTTTCACCAAGGGTAGAACTTGTCTGCCACAAGCTGGCTGTTTTGGATGACTGGTTGGCTGCCGCAGCGAGGGATGAATTACATTTTTGATAGGGTCATAAACAGTGTCAGTCCCCAAAAGTCTCACTCCTCTTCACTGTTGCTAGAGCTGACACACTGCTTTGGGGATTTTAAGTGATTCTGCCCCCCTTTTTAGTAAAAGTGAGTTTAGCCTGGGCTCACTCTCTGGACCTGGTCCTGTGCTGTCCCTGGGGCAGTGAAGAACAACTCACCTGGAAGGAAAAGCCTCAAGGCAACAGCGCGCACAGGCTACAGAGAGGTGGAACACTTGAGTTAAGTCATATGCTAATTGTGCCAGGATCTAACTTCTTTATTCCCAACCATGTTCCAACATGGTAGGTGCTGAAGGCTCCAATCACTGCTGTAAAAATTGCATTTGCCCTCTGAGTGCAGAAAGTTGCTTAATAGAGAGGACTGAGGTTCAGTAGATTTTAAAGTTGTCAAAGCTAGTAAACATAGCAGGTGGAGGTTGATGATTTTACTAGGCCAATGAGTCTAAAAGGGCTTTTAGAAACATGTTCATTTGCTTCCTCTTCTTGAGGCAAGTAACTAGTCTCCAATGTGCCACTGGCTGCTGCAAGGTGGGCTTAAAGCACCTTGAATATGCACTTTGATCATTTTTACTGTGACTCTCCACATAAGCAGAGCTTGTGGAGTTTTTGTGCCATATTTGAAGTGTCAGATCAGTCTGTACATTTAAGAATTGATTTTGCTATTGGTGACTTACCACTTGAATAAACTCAATTAGTAAGTGACTGTTTGAACTCTTAATAAACCAGTATTCGCACTGAGGGAAAATGGTCTATCACAGCCAGGTTTTTAACTGGGGCTCCTTCCCATTTTACCCACTGAGAATCTTTATAGAGCTGGAAGTGCTGCTGTGGGATCTTGTATCATCCTCTGCCACTACAGAAAAAAATATTAATTTTAACTGAACTGTTACCACAGCCCATGAGACAGGTTTGTGAAATGAGGTAAGATTCATCTTTACTCCTTGGTGCATTTAGATAACCGCAGCAATAGATACACTATATATAAATTACTTAGACTACCTGACAGATACCACAACTCCAATATTTAGTCATCTAAAAAAACAATTTATTGGTTTATTCGTTTTATTTTTAAGTTACAGAAATATGGAGAGCAGAAAATTACAGCTGGTAACTTCAACTTCCAACTGCCATAAGTACAGCATCTGTAGCTTCACATTTGTTGCTCAGTAACATGTCACAAAGCACCCTGTGTATTCCAGTAGCATGCTCTGAATTCTCAGAACAAGATTTTTTTTTTTTTTTTGCTGACAAGAATCAAGACCCTTGTATAAAAGTTACGACAGGAGCAGGTTGAGTGGGGAAAATAGTACATTTCCCTAAAAAAAATAATGCCCATTTATTTAGTCTTTATACAGAGATAGAGTGGAAGTGTTACAGTGCCATTAAAATTGATTCCTGGTCAATGCTGACAATGAACATCCTTTATGGCTAGTTAGAAGAATTTTCTCAAGTCGGTGCTGGGAGCATAGAAAACCAACACCAGGCAGGAGGCACTGACAAATGCCCTTCAAATAGGCTTTCAGCCTTAACCTGTAAAGAAGAGTCTCACCACAGTATAATTGCACGACCATTAGCATGAGGAGGGTGAGGAAGTGAAATGCATTTCAAAAGAAGGTCACTGGCTTTGCTGATACAACTGGCCTTGGCAGCTACGTTAAACGCATGACAGCTTAGCACCCAAGTTCAGTAGGTAGGACCTGCAGATTCTGGCCCTTTTCCCACCCACTAGTTTTTAAATTGACCATTTAAAATGACCTTTGGAGTAGGGCATCAGAGTCTTACTTGTTTGCAAGACTGTAGGCAAGGGGAGCGCAACTGCCACCTTTTAAGCAGCAACGTGCCACTGAAGTCCAACCCTGGGCTCTGGGATTGTAAATGCAAAACAAAGACTATTCAAACAATGTCTGAAATAGTATCCTAATCCTCTAACACTGAATCATCACCATAGCTCAGCATTTCACTAGATAAGTCATCCAACTGAAGATTGTTTCCACACATTTTCCACAATAGGAAAACAATATAGAGAAAGGATCCATATCAAAGGGAATTTACAGTCTATCCCTAACAGAGAAAAAATACAGTAGTGCTTTATTAGTATGATTTTTATGCTCCAGAAAACTCATTTTGGTTCTCTCAGTGGACGGGCTGCTGGGAAGAAAAAAAAAAAAAATCTAGCAATGCTGCTTCAGTCAGATCAAGACCACTTGGACTCAAGTCTCTCTCAGCCCTTCTGCAAAACTAAGGTTGTGGTCCATGCAGGACAATAAAAAAAAGCTCCTTTAAAATAAACACCATTTAAATCTTTAACCACAAGCCCTGAACTCAACTGGAACATTCTGGCTTTTGCCCCTGCATGACACTAGAAATGTAGCCTGGCATCCAGAGTTCAATGCAAATCACCTTTTCTACATCTGTTTTATACCCCAATTTGCTGTGTACCAGACTGTGTCTATTTGCAGACACACACGAGTCAAGATGTAAATATGGCCATGTGATTTTTAAACTGTAGAGATGGTCATGTAACACTTTGCCTTTCCTCTCAAGATCTCAGAAGCCTTTACAAATGTCAACCTTGCAATGAGCCTGTGAGGTAGGTATTATGTGCATTTTACAGATGGAGTAACTGAAACAAAGAGATTAAAGCCCAAATTTACAGAAGTGATTTCATTCTGGGTGCCCAATTAGACAGCTGGGCCTGATTTTCCAGAAGTGTGGCACAGCCAGAGCTCCATTAACTTCAACTGAAGTGACAAGTGCTCAGCACTTCTAAAAATTACATGGGTCTATTACTGGACTTTTGAAAGTCCTAGCCCCGTGATCCAGGAGCCAAATTAAATGATCAACATTACCCAAGAGAGCCGCCAGAGTGTGAATTCATTGTTTCATTTACTGTAGTGCTATATATTCCTCTTTAAACAGTCTGGCAGGGGAAATTTTAATGTATTTATATACACACACCCCAAAATGACTGACCCAAGTACTATTATTTTATCAACTACAATTGGTTAACAGCATAGTAAAAGCATCCTGATTGGTTCATAATTAAAATCACATGGTATTTTAATATCATGTGCTGCAAAGAGCCACAGGAGACATGTTAAAGAGCCACTTGCGGCTCGGGAGCTCAGTCTGAGTGTCCCTGTTCTAGCCTAAAGAATTTGCTCTGGATCACAAGGAATCAATGGGGAACTGTGAACGGAACCCGGGACATCAATCACCTTGCGCTCCAGGCACTAGAGCATGCTCTGAAGAAGTGAGCATTAGGCCTTATGAGCTAATGTAGCTTAGAAAAAAAGAGTCAAGTTTCAGAGGAGTTTTACTTCGTCCTATTTGTTTTTTTACACGTCTGGAATTACAGTGCAACCTCACACATGGTACTCGGTGCACGGGAGATTGATGTTTCAGGATCATGGGAAAGAACACTGGCCATTGTAAGAAGCCCTAGAAAGACAGCAGGAGTGAGCCATCCCCTGGCCTTTACCCCTTCCACTTAAGGCTCTTGTTCCCCATCTCAGTTCAGAATGTGCAGGCACGCAATAAATTCTAAGCTGAGAATTCCACCTTCAGTACTTTTTACTGGCTGAAAGAACTATTCTTACAGGGACAGAGTAAATATGAAAAAACGTAACTGTCAAACCAAGAAACAAGCAGCCATCTTGAAATATGGCACAGAATAGGACTTGGGCTTTGCTGTTGGAAAGGGCTGGAAATCAAAACCATTTAAAAGTTATACAGTAAATTGAGTAATTGTTTTTAGAAAGTGAGTCAGTTGTGATTAAAGCAACTTTGTGTATGTGGGTACACATACACTCGCTCTCACCAACTTTGATTTCCAGGGCTCTCTCATGGTGAAGCCCATTTTCCATTCTCTCTTTGCATTAAACTGGGACTTGGTTGAGAGGTATCATTAAAATGGCAGCCCCTACCTGAGAAAGGCAAAACCCTCATTCACTTGATGGAGATAACTAAGCACTGGCAAATGCTTGGAAGAGTCCCTGATGTTCTTTCTTATTTAGTAAGGGTTTTACCATGCAGGTGTTCGCACGGTCACTGGAGCTTTCCTTTTCCATGCTATGAGTGACAGCTAGGATGTTCAAGGGGGCCTCAATTTGTTATCTTCTGAAACTGCCACTAAAAGTCAATGTGAACTAGATGCCTAACTCCCTAGGTTCCTTTGAAAATCCAGCCTACGTATTTATACACTAACTTCCTTATGTACATTGCTCCAGTTATCAGTTTTTCCCCCCATTCTGGCAATGCCCTGTGCTTAGAAACAAGCAAATGAAGGTAGTGAGAACGGTTAAGGATGGGTGGGGCAGAGAAGATAAACTCTTATTGAGGAATACTTCTTGCATGTCTGTTAGTTACAAATACTGCCCAGAAGCAGCTCGGTATCGACCACCTGTTTTTCTACCTTCCTAGTTCTTACTCCTTTTGCAATACGTCTGTCACTGACGTAATCAGCAGAGATTGTACAAGAACATATCTTCAACAGCTCTTAATGCTCCCTCCCTGCCAATAACATCCACAAATTCGGTCCCTGCTCTTGCAAAACCTTACTCACGCGAGTAACATTTAAGTCAGTGGTGCCACGCCCATGAGCTTTGGGAGAAGAGATGACACACTGCCCTGAGTGCTACAGCCCTGAACGCTAAGATGTCCAGCTGCCACAGAGAATAGAAATGAAATCTAAAGGTCTGTGGGATTCAAGAAGATCTGCCGTTCCCTTTTAAAACAAAAAAGGGCAGCGGGTTAAAAAAAGGTGATCTGGTTCAATAAATAGTTATCACTGAAATTATAAATAAATTAAGCAATAATTTAAAATAAGCTATGATACAATTTGAATAAATATGTTTCATTAAGTGTTTAAATACACATGCACACGTACTTTAGAAAAAGAGTTCTCTCCTCTCCAAGTTAGCCCGTTTTTAAAGGAGCAGCTCCTATAATGCTGCCATAAAACTTGTGCCTTTAAGGAAAGAACATATTGCTTTTCTTAGCCCTTTATAATGTGATTTGATTCCCACCCAGTCTGATGGGGTGGGTCAGAGAGACACTCATTTATTGCTCATAAACCTGAGGAGGAAATAAAGACAAGTGGGTGTCTTTAAGAAAGGACTTGCTTGCTGGAGGTAGGCTTTCTGCCTACGCACTGTAGGAAATACTGGGTTTTTTTTAACTAAAAAATTGGAAGCATTTCCAAGCAACATCCAATCGGATTGGGAGAGGTTTCAGGTTTGGGTCACCTTGGAAGTTTCTCCTCTTTCCCCCCACCCCCCTCAAAACGTATTGTCTTGTCTTCAGGTATTTATTTACAATTTGCTTCAAGTCCCTGCGGCTGAAACACCCACTGTATTTTGAGTGTCATTGGTATTGCAGGCGCCCAGAAAAACTAGACTAATTTTGCTATATGTGAATACATCTAGTTCTACGGGTCATTACAAATAAGGCCACATCAGTCTTCTCTATCGTATGTAGAAATAGGACTGATTGGAAAGAGCCCTTTAACCTTAGTAATACACAGATTCATGCAAAGTGATATTAACCCTAAAACACAGGTCTGTTAAAACACAACTGGTAAGTAGGCCTTTCAACGGAATCCAGTTTGCAGATTGAAAAGTCACACGTCTCTTACTGAAAATAGATTCCAAAGAGTTCCCCAGACTGCTGCTACTCGTGGTCTTATGAATGACTGTCCCCAAAGCCTTGACGCTGAGCCACACTGCAGCCTCTTTGAGTTGGTCCACAGAGCTGCCCTGGAGGGAGGCCTCCAAGCGCGGATGTAACATTTCAGAGGTCAATAGAGGCCTACGCCACGCTATCTAGAAATGAGGGAGCTGCTCTGGGATTGGTTGGAAGATGTCGTGGCTGCACTGAGCTGGGAAAAGCCACTATTGCAGGATTCCAGGCTTGACATGGACCCCCTGGGATGAAAGAAAATGGATACGTTTGTTACACATACAGCTATTTATTGATACTCGAGTGTGTCCGAGATTCCATTACTTTATTTCCAGTGATGTGCAAAGTGGGATTTTTCACTCTATCCTCACTGTGGCCTCTCCAAATGTAAAGACATTCAAGATACCTAGGTGCCACAAAGAGGAATTAAATTGTCACAGCCAGAGATACTAGCACCCTTCTACCGAGGTGAAGACTCATCTATAATAGTTATCATGGGAGTAGGGCATAGTAGCTGTCTGGGGCTGTATATACAGTGAGTGGGCAGAGAAACAGTTAAGTGAGCAGTTAATGGCACACTGGATGCTATCAAAAGAGCTGCCACAAGCTGAATTGAGAAGGATCTGTTTGCTGTGGGTTGCCAGCATCAGATCATAGTTTCTCCCTCACTTAAGACGTCTAGCAGTGGTACCCGGATTTCCTGACACTGTGGCAGTCTGAGGTTCTATTTATTACTGTTGTAGCCACTTTCCACTACCACGCAGTGCCGCCCAGAGGATTCAGGGGGCCTGCCTGCCTACTTCAGGGCACTTCGGCGACGGATCTCAGAGCGAGTGAAGGACCTGCCGCCGAAGACCCGGAGCAGAAGGAGCCCTCGCTGCCGAATTGCCGCCAAAGACCTGGAGTGGAAGAAGCTCCGGGTCTTCGGCAGCGGGTCCTTCACTCACTCCGAGTGTGTTTGGCGGCACTGAAGGACCTGCCAGCGAACACCCGCCAAAAACTCTCGTGGGGAGCCCTGAAAACTCTTGTGGGGGCACCAGTGGGGCCCGGGGCAAATTGCTGCCTCCCCCCCCCCGGGGCAGCCCTGCTACCATGTTTTTCCCCACAATCACAGCACTGGGAAGTAAGTTTGAATGGTTAGACTTAGGGATTCTGGGTTATTTGCTATTCTCTGCCACTGACTCAGCAAATCATGTCATATTGGTGCCTTCAACTAAAAAAAACAAAAAACACCCCACCACACACCCAACCCAAAAAACCCACCCACTCTCTCTCTCCTTCCCCCCTCGCACTTTTTCTTCTAGTATTCTGCTATGAGGGTTAGTTGTCTGTAAAGCATTGAGAGCATCTCTGCTGGGAGACACCATAGAAATGTGTTATTTTTTCCCATTAGACCATCAGGGTGTACAGATACTCTGCAGGTTTCCTCTATGTCAGACTTATTCAGCAGACAAGTCTGTTGTCATGTGACCGATATCCTCCTTCGAACCCCAGACATATCACTTGATTACTTTGCCCAATGGTCTGGAAAGAACATGCTACGAAGTTAGTCCTAAGCACTGGTCTCCCCAGTAACAGTACTCCATGCCCCTTCAAGAAGCTACAGCGACTATTAAAGACATTTGGGGTAAGGCAATACATACAATGAGTAATTCCTCCAGACGATGTATAGTCTAGTCATGGCCCTTACAAAGGGAAAACTTCACTTCCCACCAAGACTAAGGATGTGTCAAGGCTCCATCTGGTGCTAACAAAAGGAAGTCTCTCTAAGGAAGAAGACCAATCTACTTGTATCCATTTTCCATGTGGTGCGCAACAGACATTTTAAAGGTTAGCTACATCTGGAATTCCAGAGTCACAGTCTGCTTTGCTAGACTGCTCCTCTATTGCAAGTCACACAGTAACCTAGCCCCTAGCATGGCTCCTACCTGAAATCCTTGGATGCAAGCACCTCAAAGTAGTACATGAGTTTACACTTGTGACTGGAAACTTGCAAAGAGACCAGGACGTCATCTACTCGAGGGAGGCTGGTGCCAGAGCATGGCAAAGAGCTGTGCATTTTCCACTGCAGAACATAAAAGCCAGGCCAACGAGTCACATGAGATCCCTGTAAGAGATGGACAAAGAGCACCATCAAGCGACTGCCAAGTGTCTGAAAAAAATAGTCACACCCTTTTTAAAAAAAGTTTGTATTTCCAAAAATAAAAATGAAAGCCAAAACAAAAGGCCAACTAACCTCAAACTCTAGTGAAACCAACGTATACACCATCCGGTTAACACATTATGGGCCTGAGCCAAAGCCCATGAATTCAGTGGGCTTTGGATCATGACCTATTGCTTACCAGTCTCCAATAGAGCATTGTGCGCATTTGGTCTGCCAATGTCAAGCTCATGCCAAGGCCCCAGGCCTCACTGAATGCTAACAAATAGCTGGAAACCAGTCTGGCTTCCCTGTGGGTCAGTATAGTTAAAGTAGATATTAGAGTTATGAGAATGTGTTTAGAATTTATGGAATGCTTGCAGGATGCTGCATGTATTAATCCTACTTATAATAACTGTCTCCCATGTTATATAGTAATATGGGAAAGTTTACTCTAGAACTATAAAAGTGTTTGCTAAGACAGTAAATCCCCCACAGTCAGGGGAGAAGCATTACCAAGTGTGAAATAATAGTTCACCACAAGAGGTGTTATCTCCTCCCTAGCAAAAGAAGGTCTACAGACATCAAACAAGCCATTGTGGACAAAAGACTTCATTGATTGTGTCCCCCACACCTTTGAAGAGGGGCCCTGCTCCAGCCCTATTCCATCAAGATTGAACACTGGGGGAAGGGAATAAAAATGCCGGTTAAAGAGAAATTGTTATTCCTATGCTGCTTGAACTCTGAGAGGCAAGAATTTCTAAACACACGCAAGGAGTCTGCACAGGAGCACCGCCAGCTTTTTTGCCGCCTTAGGCGGCGGAAGGTCCCGCCCCCGAAATACCACCAACGACCGGGGCGGCCGAAGATCCGGCCGCCGCAGTCACCGCCCCCCAAATGTTAGCGCCCTAGATGACCGCCTAGGTCGCCTAATGGGTTGCGCCGGCCCTGAGTCCGCAAGCTGTTGAGCTTGGGTTAGCGTGAAGGGACTTCTAAAGCATGCATATAATAGCTACTATCATTTTTTGGAACCTAAGTCTGTACCTCATTTGTGTGTATATCTTTACCTGTTTTACCCTTGTAAATAACATTTCTTTTTCCTAGTTAATAAGCTTTTAGTTAGTTTATTACAGGATTGGCTACAAGTGTGGTCTGATTTGAGATCTGAAGAACAGTTGACCTGAGGTAAGTGAGTGGTCCTTTGGGACTGGGAGTAACCTGAATATTGACCTTTCACAAGATAGACAGGAGTACCCAAGGGGACTGTCTCACTTCATGGTAAGACTCATATAGTGATTTAGGTATTCACACTTGTTGGTGAAATCTAATTATAGACCATACAACCAATTTGGGGTTTTTTGTCCTGCTTCTTGACAGTCTGCCCTGAGGTTGGCACTCACGGTCCTGAGCCACTCCAGATATTCTGAAATGCTCTATGCTGTGTGTCAGGCTGTGCTGAAGAAAACAAGTCTAAGTCAGGTACTGCCATGCTATGCACTTCCTCAGTGGGTCTGGGAGTCTAGTTCATATGCAGAGAGCTGTGAAAAGAGCCTCTATTCCCTTGCAGTGGAGGATTTCCAGTCCCCATTGTCTGGCGTATTTTTAACCATGGGATTCTGGAATTTGTTAAAGTTTTGCAGAAAAACGTCAATGAAAACTGCTACTCCCTATGCAACCTGCTCAACAGTCACATACACCCTCCACTACCAGGTTCTGAACATTACACTGGTTCACCACGGCTGTTTAGAGGTCAAGAGGCAGCAGGACGTCCAACCTGGATGCTCTCTCCTTCCCGGCACACCAGCGGAGACTCCATGCGGCTATAATCCACCCCCAGAACCCAGCTCTTATCGATTAGCTGCATGTTGTCCCCAGCAGTCAAAGCACTTGATGAAGTGGCCTCTTTGCGACTGGTCTCGGGCGCTCTCTTGGAGTGAAAGAGGCAGAACACCACATCTCCCTTCAGGATGTCAAAGTCCCACGTGATCACAGACTCGCCCTCCAGGATTTCCACAACGATCTAAACAAGCAGCAAAGCAAGCAGGTTTTATGGGCTTGGTCTTCAAGTGAGAGCCAACATCCTCCCACGTTCCCATCACACACAAATCTGTCCAGTTCTTGTTGTCTTAGAATCCATTACTGCTGCAATTCTCAGCTCCCCAGGGGGTCATGAGCTGATCCCAGTTCCTGCCTGCAGATTTCACTGCCGTGGATCTGCTCGGCCACTTTCACCACAACCTTCTCCTGCATCAGCAGTGCCTTACAAAGTATCGTGCCAGTTCCCGTGGCACCCCTCTTAAGCACAATTGGCACCAAAGCAAAGGTTTCTGGGGCTCAACTGTGGACTGCTTTAGAACGGCTAATTGTGGGGTTCCAACTGGCTGTTGCACAGGGAAATCGAACAGCCTGAGTCAGAATGAGCCATCGTCCATGGTTAGAAATGGGTGCATCATTCTCAGATCAAAGGATTCCTCTCCCCAACTTTGTCCTTTTTGATTACACCTGAATATTCCCAGCTCACGTTCTCTTCTCTCACAAGATCAGAGGCATGATAAATAATGGACACAAGGATATTGATGGGGAAGCCAATGGAGTCTTTATTTCTCCAGAAAAAGGAGGAAGGTGCTACATTGTGTGCAGGGACAAGTTACACCAGAGAGAGACTAGAGAAACTGCTTCCTGACCCTCAAATTACTGTTCTTAACTTCCACACACCTCAAATGCCGGCTGTGTTATCTCAGCCATCCCCTGCCGAGCACTGTGCTGCTGGAACACGTCCAGCAGTTACATGCTGGGATCCCTTCACTGCTCTATCCCAGCCTTCCCAAGAACAAATCTACAGCTCAGTCCCTTGGAATCACCTCACTGCCTTCCCCAGAACAGCACATGGTTGGTCTGTACCTCGTGGGGAGCCCCTTTAAGAACATTTGCAGAGTGGTAGATGGTTTCTGTCCAGAGTCGGATGTGATCAGAGTTCTCCGGTTCTTCATCTGTTTGATAAAGTGACTTGGGGACCAGTCCACCCTCAGGGACATTGCACTGTAAGAACCAGAGAGAAACAGACATCTGTACTGGGACTTCTACTAAACTAACATTTATGGAAATATCTAGACATCCCCAATATACCCAGTTACCTATTATGAAACAACAGATCCTCAGCTTGGCTTTACAGAAGTAGGATCTGGCCCCTGCTTTTTGTGAGGGGCACCTCCCATCAGTTAGGTTGGGAATCTGATTTAGAGTGTTCTTTTCTTTAAAAGACAGTGTTATGACATGTAATATTATTTGAAGTTTTACCATGATGTGTCAGTGAAAAGCCCTGGCTTAATTTTAAAATGCTCCAAGCAGAGTCTGGAATCCAACCATTGCACCATGGTGCTAGCACCACACAGCCCGAAAGCAAAGTTGACGAAAAATAAGTGAAACTCATCATTGTATTTTCATTGTCTGAATGGGGTGTGACATGGTGAGCAGCATAAATGATGAAAAGTAAATTAAGTTTTTTTTCGTTATTTCAAATTTAATATAATTTATTGAGAAGCTTCTGGGCAACCTACAATAAGAACACAAGTGCCTGCACATTATTACATGAAGTTAACAAGGTTCAAAGAAAGTGGCTTCAATGGCAGATATCAAAAATATGAAAACAACCATTCTAATATTTTAAAGCTCAGACTAAAGGCACATTACCTGTAATGTATGAATTATGCATAAAACCCCCAAAAAATCAAATCGAGAGTCTTATACACATGATGTGTTGGTTTATTTTTTTTAGTCTGGTCGTGTCCCTTTAATAATCTCCCTAATCCAATAGGCACTAAAGGAGCTAGGCCAGATATTTTTAGACCTGTGCTAATCTGGATGCCCTTTGACAACTGAAGCAGTGGAGTCATATTTTGATGCTATGTCATGGGATTGGGACATGATCACCAATCTCTAGCCTATGACTCAACCCATCCTTTCATGTATTCTTTTTTTAAAGCAAGATGAAGACAGAGACCCGAATAACCCAAGGAGAACCACACTGACTCGAGGAAGAACTCTTGATGGCCAAGGACCAAGTTCCGTTTTTCCATAACATTAAAGGTCAACACAGTCATAAGAGTAGAAGGGTAAGAATATCTAAACGCATCTCCCTCATAAAGGCTTCCTCGGCAAAATGCCACCTCTCCAAAAGTGAGCTCAGAGGCAAGGATAATCTCAGTACCCAGCATCATGGGTCCCCAGTCCTGTATGGGCCTTCGGGCACTACCAGTCTAGAAAGGTAACTACTCCAAGGGAAGGAGTGGAAGGACCAGGGGAGTTGGGAAGGGAGAGGTCCCCAGGAAGACAGTGTACCTCAGATTCACCTTACACGAAAGTAAGGGAAACTCACCATACATTCTCCTCCAAGGAAATCTGGAATCACGTCTTTGTCCAAATAGTCTACAAGCCCTCCAGGACCCTGGTAGTTATTGCCGCTGTAGATGAGGAACTTCTGCCTGGTGTTTTCATTGATGAAGGGACTAACCTGAAATACAGGTGGACAGAAGATGATGTTCTTATGGCATGGACTGTAATGGGAGAGGATATTGCACCACATTCCAGAAACACTCCTAGCACCATGGACTGGAGTCCACAGGGAAGTTGATGGCCCTGAACCAGAATAAGTTATACACAGAAATATTTCCATTCTCTCACAGGGTTCCCCCACCATCCCCCCCATTAGATAAAACTAGAAGTCATCTCCCCATCCTCAACACTATTCCAGAACTGCATTGGGCTTTGTCCGTTCTGTGGCCTATACACCCAGCAGGCCCTAGCCAGGGTCACATTCATTACTTTATTCTCCAGTGCTCTCTCGAGTGGGATTTAAAAGCAGTTTATCTTTGCCACTCAAACCTCTGCCAATTACAGCTTTTTATTGGCGCGACTCTTGCATATCGGTATGAGAGAGAGTCCCAAGAGCTAGCCTGTCGGTTGGTAGTAATGCAGCAAAGCACCATGTGAGAGCCCAGAGTGTAGATCCCAAACTCTGGTCAGCACTGGCAGCATGGCGGAGGCTAAAAGTGATGTGAAAACAACATCTATTGCTCTGTGGCAGTACTATGGCTAATTCCAGAGCTCCGCCAATGAGCAGTGTCTAGCTCTCCTCAGTCCAATGACGGGTTGCCTGAGAGCTTTTTCCTCCGTAACCCTCCAATGATGCAGAACATCTGCATGCCTGGATGTTTTAGACACTTGTGGCACTGGCCCAGTTCTCACTGTCTGTACAGTAAGGATTTCATTTACCAGAGTCCACAGCACAGGGAAAACCCGTGGTGCTCGCACGATCAGTAACCTCCCCAGTGTCTCAGGGTAATTGTCCTCTACAACCTCGATTATCCGAAGGAGAGCCTTAACTCCAGGCCGCCACAGGTGGCGCATGTTTAGCCCTTCCAAATCCACCAGACACGTCCAGGATCTGAAATGCACAGAAGAATTGGAGAGAAATGAACCACAGTATCCCCATTCGTCACCAACACAGCACCTGTCCAGCCAGCACAAATAAGAGTTGCACAAAAATCTTTTATCATACACTTTCTATTAAACCTAGGGGGTGACTGGCAGTACCAGTGGAGCAACAACTACCCCCCACCATACAAGCAGCAGATGGCCGGAGTCCAAAGGTATTTTCAGTGCACGGAATGGATTCCTCCTCCCAGGGAGGACGACACTTCGAGGTGGTTAAGAGTGCTCAGGCCCTTGAGCAAATGGCTCTTTTAGATCCACCAAGACACAATCTGGGCACTACTATCATGGCACTAAAGAGTTATTTTGCATTAGTTAAAAACCTGATGCTGTGCAAACAGATCCAGAACTAAAGGCTTCAAGCAGCTGGATTGGGATCACCAAGGCATCAGATAGAAGAGCCACTTGGAATGTGGCAGAAAAGCTGGACAATGTGATTGGGGAAAATAGCCTTATTTTCCTTCATATGAAATTATACAGTTTATCTAGGCTAAGCCCGGGACATATGGTACCACAGACACCCCTGCCTTGGCTGGAGTAGGGATTGATACAAACAAAATACTCCTGTCTGTGGCCTGGGCCTAAGAATTCCAGTTACTTATTTCAGTAAAATCCATGATATCTTAAAAACTCTCTCTGAAATGTTACTTCCACCTTGCTGGCTCACACCATATCAGGGCCTTAAGACAGTTAAATGCATACTAACGTGATGGGACGGCCAAACAGGTTGGTGTTTTCCTCACACCTCTTTTGTCCCTCCTCGTTAATTGACAAAACCTGAAATGAGAGAGAGAGAGCGCTCAAGAGCACAGACTGGGGGTTACCTTGGCAACACACCCAAAGAAGAGCCCCCATCTCCTACTCCACCATGGGGGAAACACTGAGGAAATCACATGAACAGGGAGCTGGAGCCAAAACATGTTACATGTATAAAGAACAAGAAATGAGATTTCTGGAAAGGTTCTGTCTGCTGAAAAATCAGTTCTACTGCGTTTACAAGGCCTGTTTGTTGAAGAGCCCAAGACGCTGCGTACCAGATTCTCAAGCCCTGCTACAGGCCCCTTTGCATCATTTGGGTAATGTAAGGGCCACAATCCAGCTGCACATCACTAACAGAGAATTGCCCTGGCATCAGAGAACTTCCTGCTGGTGCATTTGCGCCATGGCTGGGCCTTGCCCCACTTTGGGCTGGAGAGTATGTTGGGGGTTGGGAGGAGCTACACTGCTATGCATGCCACTGAAGACCCTACACAAGAGAGGTAATCTAGAGCTGCCTGGTAGCATGGGGGCTGAGGAGGCATTCCGAAACAGGGAGTCCGAACGGATTCCCCAACCATGCTCCCCTCTCTCTCCTGCACTGAGAAGAGCTCGGACACTGGAGAGGAGACCAGCTGCTGCTCTTTGTTCAAGGTGATGGCAAAGTAAGCACGTGCTGTAGTGGGAACTGTGCCAACAGACATCAAGGTCGGGCTCTGTGCTTGAGCTAGCATGCTAAAAACAGCAGTGTAGCCAGGATAGCATGGGCAGTGACTCAGGCTAGCTACCCAAGCATGTACCTGCCTGGACCCCCTGGGTACGTGTTAAAGCAGCTAATCCAAGCCATGGCCCCTGCTATCCTGGCTACATTGCTATTTTTGGCAAGCCGACTTGAGCGGAGCTAGGATAGGTACATCTACACAAGCTGGAAATCCATTGTAGATGCACCTTAGTGCTCATTTAGATAAGCCCAAATAGCCACTGTATCAACCAAGTGCCAGGTTCCGTGATGGCCTAACTGTTGAAGACAATGAAGAATTTACCTCCAAATTTGTATCTGGTAAGATGCGGCCAATCAGCAGGCTATATAGTTCCCCTATGCTGCATGCTGAACCCTATCGCCATCAACATTTGATGGGAGAGAGATACACAAGGCCAACTGATACGTGGTATTAGAACCAATTCCTTCATCTGCTAGTCAAGTGGATCCCTTCCCATGTGGGCCTGCTGCTGTGATTTGCACTTCATCTAAACCTCTCAGAGCACTGAAGCAGCTGAAGTTATATAGGTAATAAAAGCATCCCTTACGTGTCGCAGGAGCGACTCTTCTCCCAGGGCCTTCACCAAACCTTTTGTGTCCATCTGACCGAGGCGGAGGATGTAGAGGGGGCGGCCATCTTCAAAGCAAAGAACAAACAAAGACGTTACAGGGAAAACACTAGTTCTAAGCCCCCAAACGGGAGATCCTGCAAAGAACCTGGAAACTCTGCTGAAGAAAAGTAGCATTCAGATGGCTAATTTAACCACAGCTTCTTGTCAGTAATAAATAGGCCAGGTGTCTGGGAGATGGAATAGCCTGGTGGAGGCTGGGGGGAAATGAGCTATAGATTCTCTCTTATCCATGCCACAGTTTAACATTGGTCTAAAATGGTTAGCTGTCTGATGGTCTTAATCCAGTCTTCAGTGAGAAGGTGATGGTATCACAACAGCCTTGCCAGCAGCTCAGAGAGAAGCTGTCAGTTGAATCAGTTGGTGTCTGACCTACTCATCTCCTTAGGGGGCAGACCCTTCTGGGAAGGGATGGGGCACTTGGGTAGGAGAAGCTTCCACTGGAAACAGAGTTGCTTACCTATAAGCGGGGCATTTTCTTAAAAATTAAAAGAAAAAAAATGGTGCCCAAAGCATATTCCTATCAAGGGGAGCTTTAGGCCAGCCAGATTCAGCCTCATCTGCATGTACAAAAACAAAGATTGCTTTGACAAAATCGGGACATTCATATGAATTAGGAAATGTACCCATGCTAGGATTCTTCACCATGCTACAGTGTAACCTGCACTGGTGGTGCAGATGCACCGTCCTACCTTTGTCCTGGTAATGCCACCCCCCGGTGTAGTACTCCTCCAGCAGGGACGGGGGTCGCCAGGTCTGCAGGATGTAATCCACCTGGTACTGCTTGCGCCAGGTCAGCGACTGGCAGAGCATCTCGCGAGCCTTGTCGATGTTGAAATCGCGAGCCCTCAGGAATCGAAGGATATGCTCATCTTTGGGGATCTGAGAGACAGAGGAGACGCACTCATCCCAAAGAACTTGGACTGCACCGCTGCCAGCGCTCCCCTCCCACAAACCCCAGTGCGATGCAAAGAAGCTTCTAGCTCCTCACAGGCATGGAGAAGGATTGAAGTTTAATTTTCTTTCCTCCTGCTATGTCCATTTGGTCTGCTCCAGCTAATCCAGGACTGTAGGGAAATGACAAACCCAGCCCCCCTCCAGAGATAGGGCCCTCCCACCTACCTGGGCCTATACATGCCATGCATATTCAGTCTGGAAACACTGCAAGCCAGTGCATTGAATAGACAGCTGGGAACTGCAGTGAACTCTGCTAGCCAGAGTCTCCCAAAACATTCCCCCACCAGCCGAGACAGACCACCCGCAAATCCTGCCCGAAAGTAACAAAGCTGCAACGTTCCTTCCCCAGAGAGCAGGGTGAGCCCAAGAGAGACAGAAAAGCCACACAGCACCATGCAAAGGATGAAAAGCATCTTTGTTCAACACGCTAGCCTACAGGAAGGCTCCTGTGCTAGCCCTATGGAGACTGGTCACAGTTGGGCTGTCTATAAACAGACCATCAGACACCCTCTGAAGGCTCCCTTCAGCTGGAACACTGCAGCTCACACTCTTGTGCAGGCTCTTGTCATCTTGTCTGCTGAACCTCCACACTGGCCTTGTCCGGGTAGGTCAGTCCCTCTCCTTTCTCCATGACAGCTCCCCTTCATGACATTACAGTGTAACCCCCCCCACACACCCACCCCCAATTATCCCCTCTCGTATCTGACCACATGGCCCCCCACAAGCTAATCACACCAGCCTCAAATGTTCAACCTCTTCTCCCACCAACACTTCTGTACTTTGTCCCTTGCTGCCCCTTCTGCATGGGGCACTAGGGTGACCAGATGTCCCGATTTTATAGGGACAGTCCCAATTTTGATGGCTTTTTTTTTTTAAACTATAGGCACCTATTACCCCCCACCCCTTTCCCGATGTTTTACACTTGTTATCTGGTCACCCTATGGGGCACCCTCTAGGATAGCAAGCACTTTCTGACTTCCTTCAAATCCCTTGAGATTCACTTCTACCTTACAGCCCAAGATAAAATTGCCAGCTACTAACGGGGTAGGCAGTTGGCCAGCAGCAATCATCATCAATAAATCCCAAACAAAGCTAAATTTGACTTGAAATTGCAAGTTGTGCATATGGCTAATCTGCAACTACATCTTCCAATCTCCTCGCCCCATTGCCTCAGTTTAAGCTCTTGTTGCATCTCATCTTCATTCAGACTATAAACTCTTCAAAGCGGGGACAGTATCTTCCTATGCATTGCTACGGCATTTAGCATAACAGGGCCATGGTCCCAGATGGGCCGCCTGCACACTACTGTAACACAAACAATACATATGTTCAGGGCGAAAAGCTCTCTTATCAGCTTACTAACATGCGGATGAAAATAGAAAGAAGGGCTGGAAGCAAAGCAACCAGGAATTTCAGGCCTGAAGCAATCTCAGTTACACATACCGATATGAAGCTGCAATAGACACACTTAGGGCTTGTCTACACAGTGCATGAGTCTGCACTACAAAGGTGTCAATTCTAACATGCACTCATAAGTTGCGCACTAGCTGGCCTGTGTGGACCCTGCTGGCGTGCACTAAAAGTTCCCTAGTGCATCTGAATGTAGTCCCGTTTCAAACAGTCCTACACAACGCGCACTAGGGAACTTTTAACAGAGTCCACGTGGGCCAGTTAGCGTGCAATATGCTGGTGCAAATTAGAATTTATACCCCTCTACTGTGGACTAATGCACCGTGTAGACAAGGCCTAAGAACAGATTCAGTGGAGAGAAAGCAGATAAGTTTTGAGGTAGCTTGGATGCACACCTGGGATAAATTGTTTCTAACCAACGCTTTGCAAACATCGCATTTGTACATGTTGGCTACGGGGGGAGTGGGTGGGGAGAGGGAAGAGGGGGTAGTGGCCATGTTTCCACATCGGAGCTCAAAATTTTATTTAATAAACGCTGGCAAGAACTTGTCTGCATCACACTATAGAAACAGCTGTGTTTTTTTTTTTATTAGCAGACTTTGAACACACAACTTCAGTGCTGGGAGGAAGCCACTATCCACAGGGCTACTCAGGTTGGTTCAAATTAGAGCTGTCAAGTGATTAAAAAAGTTAATCACGATTAATGGCACTGTTAAACAATAATAGAATACCATGTATTTAAATATTTTGGATGTTTTCTACATTTTCAAATATATTGATTTCAATTACAATACAGAATACAAAGTGTACAGTGCTCACTTTATATTTTTTATTACAAATATTTGCACTCTAAAAAACAAAAAATAGTATTTTTCAATTCACCTAATACAAGTACTGTAGTGCAATCTCTTTATCATGGAAGTTGAACTTACAAATGTAGAATTATGTACAAAAAATAACTGCATTCAAAAATAAAAAATGTAAAACTTTAGTGCCTACGAGTCCAATCAGTCCTATTTCTTCTTCAGCCAATCACTCAGACAAACAAGTTTGTTTACATTTGCAGGCGATAGTGCTGCCCACTTCTTGTTCACAATGTCACATGAAAGTGAGAACCGGCGTTCGCATGGCACTGTTGGAGTTGGCATCGCAAGATATTTACATGCCAGATGCGCTAAAGATTCATATGTCCCTTCATGTTTCAACCACCATTCCAGAGGACATGCGTCCATACTGATGACGGGTTCTGCTTGATAACAACCCAAAGCAGTGCGGACTGACGCATGTTTATTTTCATCAGATGCCACCAGCAGAAGGCTGATTTTCTTTTTTGGTGGTTCAGGTTCTGTAGTTTCTGCATTGGAGTGTTGCTCTTTTAAGGCTTCTGAAAGCATGCGCCACACCTCATCCCTCTCAGATTTTGGAAGGCACTTCAGAGTCTATAACCTTGGGTAGAGTGCTGTAGCTACTTTTAGAAATTTCACATTGGTACCTTCTTTGCGTTTTATCAAATCTACAGCGAAAGTGTTCTTAAAACGAACAATGTTAGCTGAGTCATCATCCAAGACTACTATAACACGAAATATATGGCAGACTGCGGGTAAAACGGAGTCGGAGACATACAATTCTCCCCCAAGGAATTCAGTCACAAATGTAAAAATGCTCGTTAAAAAAAATGAGTTAATCAGCATGGAAGCATGTCCTCTGGAATGGTGGACGAAGCATGAAGCAATACGAATGTTTAGCATATCTGGCACGTAAATACCTTGCAATGCCAGCTACAAAAGTGTCATGCGAACGCTTGTTCTCATTTTATGGTGACATTGTAAATAAGCAGCGGGCAACATTATCTCCCATAAATGTAAACAAACTTCTTTGTCTGAGCAATTGGCTGAAAAAGAAGGAGGACTGAGTGGACTTTTACGCTTTAAAGTTTTACGCTGTTTTGTTTTTGAGTGCAGTTACGTAAGAAAAAAAAATCTACATTTGTAAGTTGCACTTTTAGGATAAGAAGATTTCACTACAGTACTTGTATGAGGTGAATTGAAAAATACTATTTATTTTGTTTATCATTTTTACAGTGCAAATATTTGTAATAAAAAATAA